GGATATAGGACAAACATTTTTGATGTTTAGTTGGCTACAGTCAACTGGACATTTACTCGACTCACTTTTTCTCTACATAGTAAAATCAGCAGTATAATCCAACCCAACCTTAGCATATTCAATCCTCAAGGTAAGCTCGTGAACCTTCAAAATCATTGTGTTATCACATATCACATACTTTTCAAAAAACGCTTGGTTACAAAAGGACTAAACACAGTAAGTGCATCTATGATTTTAGTGTTTTCTATATCATATTAGTTTGCCTTTTTTGCATGGATATAATTAGGTCTATCAAAATTCGACATGTCACAAGTAATCAACACGAATTAAGCGAATTTGGGTGAGATATTAACAGGTTTGGGTGGTAAACAGGTTGATCCACCAGACACATTTAATAAATAGGTCGTGTTTAAGTGAGACTTGTCAAATCGTTTATTACATGTTTATCCGTTTAAATAAAATTAATATAATAATAAATTAATAATCATTTTAAAAAATTAGCCAAAAAAAGTAAAAAAATCAATACAAAAAAAAATAAAAATAAAGCAGTAGTTCAAAGACAAAGGAAGGGAGATGGAGAGTTGTTCAAAGACAAAGACAAACTAATACTTTTTAGGGTTAATCTTATTTTGCACCTCGAAAGATTGTTCGAATCTCAATTTACACCTTCAAAGATCAAAAATCTCAATTTACACCCTCAAAGATAGAAATTTGTATCAATGTGCACCCCCAAAGATCAAAAATCTCAATTTGCACCCTCAAAGATATAAATTTATATCAATGTGCACCCCAAAGATAAAAAATCTCAATTTACACCCTCAAAGATAGAAATTTGTATCAATGTGCACCTAAAACTAAATTGATAAATTATACCTAAATCCCCTCATACTTGTCACTTAATCATTTAGACCTCTTCACATTTAGAATATTACTCCTACATCTTATGACATTTGTGCACGTATAACACGTAACTCATTTTCATTGATATCTATTAATATAACCGTTAAAAAATATAATTTTATTCTAATAAAAATTATAATTTCATATTACCCTTTATTTTATGGGTTCAATATACTCTAAAGTTCAAAATCTAGTTTACCATTTGAATGTCTAATAAAATGTAGATATTTATATAAATATCTACATTTTATTAGACATTCAAATTGTAAGATTTTAACTTTAAAGTATATCGAATCCACACAAAAAAAAGTAATATCAAATTATAATTTTTTATTAGGATAAAATCATATTTTTTAACGATTATATTAATAAATATCAACGAAAAGTGGTTATGTGTTACACATGCACAAACATTATGAGATGTAAGGGAAATATTCTAAATGTGAAGGAGTTTAAATGATTAAGTGACAAATATGAGGGGATCTAGGTATAATTTATCAATTTAATTTTAGGTGCACATTGATACAAATTTCTATCTTTGAGGGTGCAAATTGAGATTTTTTATCTTTAGGGGTGCAAATTGAGATTCGAACAATCTTTTAGGGTGTAAAATGAGATTAACCCTACTTTTTATTTTTGTCCCACATCAGCAAATGAGGGGAGATGGGTGGACTGACTTGCCTATAAAAGACAGTGACCTCTTGCCTTTTTTTTAGCCTTCAAGTCTAATTTTTATGTGAAATTTAGTTAGAAATTCCTCTTTTTTGAGGTAAGTACAACCGGCATTAAAAAAAATAGAGTATTAAAATTTGTTGATATAATTTTTTTAAAATTAAACGGGTTAAACGAGTCGTGTCGTGTTACTCGTTTATTAAGCGGATCGTGTTTGTGTTGAAATTTTTCACTCGTTTATTAAACATGTCATGTACGGGTTTATATGTTTTTCACCCATCATCCATTTAACCAAACACGTAACCATTTAATTCTACATGTTTGACACTCCTAGATATAATCCTTCCGATCATAATTAGTGTGAGTATGCAACGATGATCAAAAGAGAAGAATTTGTTGATTCTCCTCTCAGGATAAATATAAATCAATGGCATACAAGTCAACATATTTTCTCTTTTTTTGTATACATATATTGGCTCAATACCTTACCGGCATGTCAAAATTTCAGGTTATTAATGAAATTCTTAGGTTGATTCAAACTGAGTGTTGAAGGATATTCAAGTAAATGATATAGTTATGACTAAAATTAGCAAAATATCTTTACTTCTAATCGCAATGTAAAGTTCTATCCAAATACAATGCAAACATCTTGTTATTTTGTCCAATTGCATTCATTTTATGGCGTTTGTGGGTGCATAATTTGATATTTTTTTATGGTAAGTCCTTCCTCTCTCTTAGACTCAAAATATTTTTTATCAAATCATTTTATCATTTAACCCGACCGTGGTCCAATTTGCCACAATTCATATTCCATTAAGGTCTATTTACATTATTTGAATAAAGAAACACATAGCTCAAAAGTCTGGCCTAGCAATCTTAAAATTACAGATTTTTGGAAAACCTACCAGTAGGTTTTGACGCCCCTAAAACTGGAGGTTCTTTTTCAACCATTGACCACCCATCAACCCACGAAACTATCCGTGATTATCGTACAACCCGACATCAAGTCAATAGCATCTCCTTAATTGGGATCATAACCAACACGTGTAACCCGTGTATATTTTATCATTTGATCGGATCGAGGTCAAATTTACCACAATTCATACTCCATTAGAGTCCATTTACATTATTTGAATAAAGAAACACATAGCTCAAAAGTCTGGCCTAGCATTCTTAAAATTATAGATTTTCAGAAAATCTACTTGTAGGTTTTGTCGACCTACTGGTAGGTTTTGTTCACTAGAAAAGTCCTACCGATAAGTTTTGTCTGCTGGACAACATCCTACCTGTATAAATTTCTACTGGTAAATTTATGTTCTATCGGTAGGTTTTGCCCAGATTTACCTATTTCACCTATTTTTAATCTCCAATTCATTTCAATCTATATTATTTTCATCCAACACATGTATATTGACGATTTTCAGATAATACAAGGTCCATACATATTCTATTACATTAATTTACATGAATTTACATACCTAAACTAGGTTTTCATAATAATTTACAAAAACTCAAAATAAAGTCATATCCCGGCTTTCTTCATCCTTGAGGTTCCATGTGAGGGCTTTCCATCAGCGTATATCTCACACCTGAAATATTTTTCCCATATAAGATGAGTCACGCTCAATAAAGTATCCTTATAGAGGTTACTCTCCCAACCTAGATACATATGAAATGTCATATGCAACATTTAACAAACAACAACCATTCCAAACAAGATTAAGCAAATCTATGTTGGAATCTAACATGTCATTCAATGATATGAGATGTTACCCACTCATACAACTCAACCTGAACCCTCACTGATTTCTTTCCCCCATGCAATGTCATGAGTATAAAATCGGTTTTTCCTAGCCCCTGCCATTGATGATACTCATCCAATGACTATTTAAAAATCTCCGGATCTTTCTTGGAGTGGGTATTTATGGACTGACACCAACGACACCTAGCCAACACATAATTTATGGACTTCCACCAATGGTCCTACGTACATCAACAAACTTTATGGACTTTTATATTAACGGAGTGCGTATTCAATCACCGAGTCTCTTACTCGAAGAATAATCTAGCTCTTCTTGCTAACCCCGACCCAATTTTCATGCAACCATGCGACTCAGTCGGATCTTCAATCTAACTTTTTCGAGACAACCCATCAACCACCTAGTATGGTGTTTGATCAAACTATGCACATAGCCACACCCACACTCATGTCTCATGCCCATGGATGTAATGCCTCCGTGCAAATGCAATGTAATGCACCATTGTTATATCAATATAATTATTATGATCCCGGTTAAGGGGATTCTATTGACGTGATGTCGAGTTATGCAACAATCACTGGTACTTCCAGGGGTTGACAGATGGTCAACGATTGAAAAAGTACCTCCGATTTTAGGAGCGTCACAATTCATGTGTAATGTATTTTACTATAATTACATAGAATAATTTATGTTGAAAAATCAAAATCATTCGTGTGCAACGCATGTGTACATCAACTAATGGACTTAAAATGTCACTTAATCATTCATTGTTTTTAATTTTTGTTGCGAGTCTAAGTAGTTATTAGGATTCACTACATGATTTCATTATAAATCTTAATATTTATTAGAAATCGCTGCATAGTCAATGTAACATTTAGTGTTTTATTGATCAAATCCACATCTTAAATCAATGTAACATTTCTCAAATTTTAATTCAATGTACCGTTGTGAATAAATTATATCGTGTTTAAGTTTAGGACAATGTTATATGAACTTAAAAATTAAATTTCATAATTACATCCATTAATTTTACTGTGGGTCCGAACATTTATTGAGATCCACTACATATTCAATAATTATAATTATCAAGTTTAATTTTTAAATCTATGTAACATTACTCCTAAATTTATGGGTATCAATAAATTAAATTTCAATAACATTGTTCTTTGAAAAACTTACTCGATCAGGACGGGGACTTCAGGTTTCTGCTCTTCAATTGATGCTTGTTTGACAGTACATCAAACTATGGACATTAGCCAATGTAGCACCCTGTTATTTAGGTCAAGTGCCCATCACTCACACAACCATTAAGATAAAGAGACTGCAAAAACAATACCCTGGTAACGCGTAGAGTACGAAAAAATGAAGAAAAACAAAATGTCTTAACCAATGCACATGCATGGCTCTCGTTTATAAGATAATCTAGAGGAAAATAAAGAAAATGGTCGGAAAAAAAAATAACAAAACCTAACACAACAAATGAAGACTAGCTAACATGCTTTCCACCTCACATTTTGCCAGAGTATCATACTTCGACAAGCTAATAACCTTGAAATCTAATACATTTTCCTCGATGAAACTAACTCTTTTATTTCTCAAGGTAATTGAAGTTGACTTCAAAAACAAATTTGAAGGAAGAAACTATACTCTGTCACCCTGTATGCTGGTTTAATCCACGATCTTTGGTATTGAGGAGGAAGAGCCTGAGAAAATGTGTCCTATCTGGTATGGAATCTTGCTGAGAGATGAGTCCCTGTGAACAAGCAGGTCTGCAGGACGAGAAGCTTGAGGAATAATCCCCATGGCTGCCTGTCTTTCTCTGTAGGATGCCCAGGTGACCAAATAAAGCCCAGCTATAATTAGAAGTCCTCCCAGAATGCTGTTTCAAATCATAAATCAGGCCAAGTTATAGCCCCAAGAATATGTGTTCTCAAAAGTACAAGATACTTTCTCTTATCCAAAGTAGTATTTCAAAAGCAACATTTCATTATATGATAAAAATGGAAAAATACTGATTGAAGTGAGGAAAATGTGGCATATTCATCTAAATTGTCATTAGAGAAACATAGAAAGATGAAGAAATCAGGGATTGTAAGTACAATTTGAGGTTTTGGCATATAACCTTCCCAAATAAATAGGGCTTCCGAGGAAAATTCTTGACAGAAATGCAGATGCAGCAGGCTGCAGAGGGTTATAGAGGGCAACCAAAGCAGGTCCGAGGATCTTATTGGACCATGTCAACATTCCATAGTTGAGGGCAGATGCAACAATTCCCTGAGACAACAATCAAGAGAGCAGGTTAACTGCATAAGCTGACATGCATAAAGTTAATCGCACATATGCTTCTCGCAGTAAAACATCGATATAAATGAGGATATATAAAAGGTAATACACGCATTTATACACACAAATGATCTTCAGTTAAAGATTATAATTTTCACAGGATAAATGTCAAACAATGTGAAATACACAGAGAACATGTTCTAAGTAGCCACGTCATCTGAAAGAGCATCATAAGAGGACTTCCATTTTGCTTTAAATAGAATATATTGAACACAGACTAAACGCATGCAACCAAAGTCCACATGACATATAGAAGAGAAGACTAAAAAATGATGATTAATTGGGTGTCTACAAAGTCCACAAAAAGGATATGGAAGTAGAAGAAGTCAAAACAACAAAGCACACTCGACAAGTCAGCAACTCCACACCGCTAAAAGATAAAATGGTTTCTCTGCTTCTAGATGCACTTACTCCCTGCATTATGTGATGAACCGTATGAATAGAATAGTAGGAGATCCTTTTGAGGGGAAAGGAATTTGGGTTCCTAAGATGAAAATTCTTTGTTGTCTAGTATGACTTGATGAGAGTTTTCCAAGGATACACATAGCTGGGGGATGTTGCGCTCCCCTTGAATACATTGAGTACATGGTATAAAGAACCTCGCTATCATCAGGGCAAGCTTTCACCACTGCTGTAGGCAAGGACCCCCACATGATCAATAAGTTTGCAATTTATTCCATGCACACAGGCTTTTAATAAGTAATTTGAGCTGAAATATACATGACTACAACCATACAGAAGGAAATCAAGGCCCAATATAATACTAGAGGAGCAGATAACACTTTTACAAGAACTAATTGCATAATCCTGTTTCATTGTAGCTCTTAGCATAAGAGATCCACCCAACCCAACAAAAAGAAAGAAAGAAAGAGTGTTTCATCTCTCCGTATTCAATCCGCAAAACCTTAAAATCCATTCACTTCCACAAGCTTGCCTCTATTTTTGATACAGAATTAGACCTACTGGGCTCATGCCCTTTCAATCTGCTTGCGTTACAAGTAATTTTATTATTTGATAGTTCCATACTGTGATTTCGTGCAAGTGACAATGTTCTTTAGGATGATTTGGCTAGTTAGTCAGTCACCATTCACCAATATCATTGATTGTGTCGTTTGTAAATAAAGGAGATTCTTCTTATACCAATACAATGAGGTCACTGGTTGGTGGAGTGGTAAATTGTTGGGCTATCAACCAAGTCCTGAGTTCAAACCTGAGTGCGACCATTCGTGCAAATAATGACCAAGGTTTGATGTAAAAATACTCTCAGTCAGATGTGAAACATGTCCCAATTCAAACAGCATATTATCTATGAAACACGGATACTTCGTCAAGGTCAACATACCCATAATAGATACGATACTTATTGGATACTCGAATATATGTATCAGATACGCATCTTACGAATCTGATAATTAATAAAATATGTGAATATTTCGCAAATACTTCTAAACAAAGAGCAAGATGTATAATTTTTAATTTTAAGCTATATCTTCTTTTGAATTTACATACAATACAAAATATCAATAAAATTTCATCTGATTTTGAAGTCACGAGTGTTTTTTAAGTATTATCATGTCAAAAGAGTACAAAAAAAATGAGTTAGCTACACTATAATATTAAAAACAAATGTTTCTAAACAAACCAACTAGTTAAATGTGGTTCTGGTTTTTTTAATTGATCACACTCATTTTATGAATATATCATAATGAGACGATATTCCATCTTTTTCCAGATAAAATTTTCTAATTTTACTTATTACTGTTAAAAAATTGGGTTAGTTGCACTGGAGGTCCCTAAAGTATGTGACTTGTCTCATTTAGGTCCCTAAAGTATGTGGTTTGTCTCATTTTGGTCCATAATATTTCATTGCATCATTTTAGTTCCTAAAGTATTGAATATATTTCTATATGGTCTTTCAAGCAGACAACGTACAGATTGCTAACGATTTTTTATCATAAACTTATCACGTAATACCTAAATAGGGACAAAAAATAATTTTAATAGTTCTTAAAACAAAATTTGGGTAGCTCTTAACAAAAAAATGTGTAACTTTTGACCAAAATTTGGATAACTCATGATCAAAACTGTATAATTTGAGTATCTATTTAACCAAAATTTGAGTATAAATTTGGTCAAGGATTATCTAAATTATTTTTTTGTCCATATTTAAATATCACGTGACAAGTTTATGATAAAAAATTATTAGCAATTTGGACGTTGTCCGCTTGAGAGACCATATAGAAACATATTCAATACTTCAGAGATCAAAATAATGCAATTGAAATATTGGGGACCAAAAATAAGACAAACTCCATACTTTGGGACCTCCAGTGCAATTAACCCTAAAGAATTATTGAAAATTATAATTTTGAAGCCGTTATATAATAGTAAAATATAAAATTTATTTTATTATAGACGTATCCTGGCCATACCCATATTTTTTTTTGTTAAGTTTTGTTATATCGTTGTATCCATAACATATCGTAGTTGTATCATGTATTTGTATCTGTACTATTACCAATGCCCCCATTTTTGGAAGAAGGTTATTAATAATTGATTAGCACATCAAGCATTGTTTTGACAAACGAACATGCTGCAAACACCACCTCTCACAGTCAGACAAAATCATAACCAAAAAAACAATATGCCATATCTTTTTGAACCATTATGCAAAAAATGAACCAATTAGGAGGAAGGGGATCAAGATGACTATACATCTAAAAGGTGATAAGATACCAGGTGAAAATGTAAAAGAACAATAAATAAAGTGTTGAGACATGGGTACTTTTTCATAAGAGAATGCAGTTGGAAAGGATTGAGGCATCTCCAAATAAGACGACAACCACTAGGAGGAATGAATTAGAGATACGAATCTAATTTTGGCATTGTAATACATATTGGTTGCAAAGCCTCAAATGTGTATGCTCACATTTCGAAGTTCAAGATTTCACCATTTGCACCAAGCAATCTTGGAAATGTACTGGACATATCAATGAAACAGCAATCGTAACAAACAAAATTTCTGCATATTTTTTACAATTTCCATTCTACTGGAATTATTCATGTAAAAACATATAGTTAAGCACATTATAATTAAGCCGGTGTTTGATATGCATATGGTCTTTTCCCTGATGATTTCCTAAAAAAGAGAAAGTGAATGTATAGAAACAAAAACATATCACGCTTTGAAATTGCACTCCAAAATATAATCCCTGAGGTATTAACAACTTGTGGTCACAGTACTTTTTTGAGGAAAATATAATATTAATGAGAAACTCGCTGCATGGTTTCCTTGATCATTTAGAAAATAAAAGATAGAAAAATAAACCAGACTTACAGCATAGCAGACTGCAAGAACCTCAGACTGCGTCAAACTCCAGTCCGTTGAATCATTGGTCATAAAGACTGATGTTACTACCATGAATAGAGTGCCGAAAAAGTATGAATAAGCTGTCAAAGATATGCTTGCAGGATACCTTGCTAATACTGGAGCCTGAAATTATAATGCTAGTATGTCATCAAACTCTAAAATGTCAAATCAGCAGTGAAATAATCCCACACTGAACAAGAAGATCATTATCACTACTGAAGAAGCAAGCCTAGTTTATCATGAATTAGTCACAGTTACAGAACATCTATTCAGTAATCAAAGGAAAACTTGCGATATCACACAAGTAAAGCCAGCGTATATTGACACTCACAGCATATTCAGGTGGCTGAACAGAGAATTAGGAGGAAATATTGGCCCAAAATTAATGGTGATGCACCATTAAAAACAGAAAATATCATCATAAACAGAAAGATGAGGAAAAATTACGAAGTCAAATCCAGATATGCAATAGCATTTTACCTATTGATTCTTATGAAATCAATCAATGGGAAACTGCATCACAAGGCATGCAACAAGAAAGCAACAGATCTCATCTCAAGAAAAAATTTGACCATGCATTCTAATTCAGAACAAACATACAGCAGTTCTCAGCTTAAGCAAAACACGATGGGTATGCACACCTTGTTTTAAGAAATGCTTGTGGGTCAGAACAGACTCATCAAGTATGAAAGCCAAGAAGAAGGGAACAAGTGTTCCTCAGGTTACTTACTTCATTTGGTCTTCCTATGTTTATGCATCATAGATTTTTATCACCATGACGTACAAAAGCCATTTCCACTCATAGTTTAAAAGAAACATTGTATACTGCGACAAACTATTGCATCCCCTTTTGCTTTGTTTCATCAAGCCATATCTCTATATCCTTAGATATTATAATTGAATAGATCTGAAACCTACATACCACTGACATCAAAAAGAGCACTCTATCATATATACTTTCCAACTTAAGCATCTTAGCTTTACCCTCAGTAGTTTAAACACAATTTTGACTTTGCTTTTTATGTTCTCTACTTATTTCTAACTTGTTGCTAGACTTCTCCTCATATTAGGAAAGTTAATTCACAGCTTAAAAATAAAAATTTGTTTTCTCAGTTAAAGAGAAATGAACTATCTCTAGTTTTCATCTTCAACCTAACTACCCCCACCCCGGTGAAAGGGCATAATTGAGACAAGCAATTAATACCTGAATGGCTAGATAAGCCGCCATGCACATGCAGTTTCCAATTAAGCATAAGACGCCAAGGTGCCAATGATCAAGCCCAAGATCCACAAAATTAGACATCAACCATCCAGCAGGCTCAGGTTGACCGATGGCGCTTATTTCACTTTGAGCCACGAAATCAGATTCTTTATGTCCAAATATGGCTGGGCCCCGGAACATAGCCATTAAAATAGCACCAGAGACACATACAAGTGTACCTCCAACCTTTGCCTGACCTTCAGTTCTGAGCAAATTCACTGTTTCTGTACTGCATGAACAATATTTACATTTGATATCGGACAAGTAACATATGTGGAGGTAATGTAAACATTCGAATAAGTGATATATCAAACCTAGACAATTGTACGCATACTTGCTGTTAATGTATGTACAAAGACACACAGATACCAATGTGTGAGATTGTGCATGTGTGCACATGCGGGCGCGAGCGTGTGTGTGAGAGAGAGAGAGAGAGAGAGAGTCAAATAATTTACATAAGGGAAGAATCGATAAAACTGACCCCATTGCCACAGCCAATATAAATGTAAAGACAGGAATTGCGGGTTGTATGGCTGCAGCATAAGATGGATTTGTGTAGCCAAGGCCAATAAGAAACAAAAGCTGGTTCCCGAAAATCCTATTCCAATTGTAGTAAAATGGGAAACAAACCATAAAAGGTGATCAGTGAGATGTCAGTTCAGTAGGAAACACATACAAAAAGATTATCTAACAAGATCAGCTGAAGAGCTTAGAAGACTTTAAGCTTACCCAGTTAAACCAAGAAAGAAAAACGATAAGAGGAGGCGTCTATTAAGTGGTAGTCTTGTTCTTCTGAAAAAAGGAAACAAGAAACATTTCAGAATAATTTCTAGTATACAATCACAAAGTACACCAACTTCACAAAAAAATGTTAAAAAATATAAAACTTTCATTGGTCCCATTAGACGAGCCATATAGAAATTTTGTGTCACTAATGATCTTTATATGTTCCAGGACATATTGTCAATGACTTCCAGCTGCATGAACAAATGTCAGTTAAGTAACTTTACCAATTACATAATGTAAATAACAGCAATGCTATGCAAGTTTTTAATTAGCATCCAGCAACCATAATTGTGCAGAAGCAGGACTATTAATGGTATCTCTCATGTGAAGTGAAAGAATAACGAAGTTATAATGTCCTTGAAAATATACCCAAGAAGCTACTATATCAAAGAGCAATTTGGGAATCAGAAGCAGCTTGAGATTATATTAATTGTCTAACTCCGAATTTCAACCCGTAAAAATCCAATAAATAGCATCGAGTAATTTGGGAAAAATTTCACTAAATTCCAATAGAACTAAACCCAATACCGTGGCTAGTGGTATTTCCCAAGAAGCAGGCTGAAATTAGAATAACTGCATAAGTAGCATCGCGTAAGTTTGGAAAAATTTCAGTCAAGTTTGGCTATTGGTAATTTCCAATTTGGACTTGACGCCAGAGATTAAATCCTATCACCTAGAAGCCACGAAATTGTAGATCCACGCAGAAAAATACCATTTTTTGCAATTCAGCAATCAATTTCGAGCAGAAAAACAAACAAGCAGTCATACAATCCATGCCCAAGCCGGTATACACACACATAGGAACTAGATACAAACATTTATATTTACTGATACTCACTTCTCGCGGACATAAGCAACAGGAGCGAGAATAGAGAGGGCAAGGAGGTCCCTGAAGACGCAAAAAACAAGCTGATTAACTCCGACATTGAGAGCCACTTTGGTGATGACATGGTAACCTCCATTGAACACCTGTACCATCGCCATTGCCGCATGCGCTCTCCACACCTCTCCTCCACCTCCCACACCTCCTGCAGCAGGCATCATCTCATCAACACCACCCTCTCCCTCTCTCTTTCTCTGTCTCTCTATACGTATATGTGTTTGTATATCTATAGGTAGCAGAGTAATGGTTGGTGTGAATCAAGGGGAAAAAGTAGGTTATCCTTGATGATTAAGGCAACAAATTATGAAGGAAAAGGTGTTGGTGGATTTGGGAGAATTGGAGATTTTAAGGGTTTTGATACTCTTCTGTTCTCACGTTGTTTTCCTGTACTGAATGCTTCCATGTGAAGACAAAGTATTCAACTATTCATAGAATTTTGTCAGCCAACTGGCGCTACCTCTTTTTCCCCAAAAAATGTTGCAGGGGAATCACACTTCACATGGCAAAAGATAGGGTATTTGATTAATTTATAATTTAACATAATTTTTATTTAAGATATTATTTATACACAATAATATATATTTTGAGAAAATTTTGTTAATTTTTTTAAGAAAATAATGGATAAAAATATATTTTAAAAGATGCAATCAAATAAATGATGAAAAAAAAAATTATTTATATAATAAAATAGTTAGAATGTTTATCATTTAGTTTTTCGTGATTCTGATTATTTTAATCCGATAGTCCTAATTGAACTTTTATTCTTTTTCCAACTCTAATGCTATGTTTGGTAGGAAGGCTGGAAAGTAAAAGGAATATGTTTTCTATCATTCAAGTAAGGAAAGTAAAAATGATACACTTTTTTTTTTGTGTTTGGTTAGATTGATGGAAAATAAAAATGACTAAATTTTTTTTTTTTTTGTTGGCTAAGATTAGGGGTGATAATCGAATCGTGTTGTGTCAGATTCGTGTTGAGTCATTACGAATTTGTGTCGAATATTAGTCAAACTTAATTCAACTTATTTAACTAATTGTGTCGTGTCGAGTTGCGAGTTGACCTGTTTATTTTCTTGCCGTGCTCTTGTTCATATTCGTATTGATCCACATAAATTTTGAATAAAAAATTTAACGTTAATATTCTATTTTTCACTTAATTAAATCTATGTTAATATTTTTTTTTACAAACTAACAATTAATTTAAATAAATATAATAATAATAAGTAAAAATATTTTTTATATAATAATTATATCAGTACTTAATAAATAGTTACAAATAATTAACATTTTATGTCTATAATACTAGTTAAACATGCTAGGTTCGTGTTAATTTTGTATTACCATACAAACAAGAAAATAGAGAAAGTGTTTATTTTTAAATAAATGGGTTGATTTGTGTCAATTTTGAGTTTGATTGATTAAATTGAATATAAATTTTTTATATTTCTTGTTTGCATGTCAGATCATTTTCAAGTTCGTATCGAATTATAATTAAGTTCGTATCGAATTATAATTAAGTTCGTGTCATAAAATTTATGTCGAGTTCAAGTCGTGTCATCGTGTTAAGTAGAAAATTTTCATCTCTAGTTAAGATGAAAATAAATATTTTTTTTAATTTAAAATTTAAATTTTTTATTTATTTTTAAATTTTTTTAAAATATATTTATAAAAATACAATGAATGTATTTTTACATGAAATTAATGTATACATAATATGTGTATATATTAAAAGATATATAAATAAATAAAATATATTTTAACACAAATAATTATCTTTTCATCCGCTTTCTTTTCGATTTTGGAAAGATTAATTTTGGTGAGTTAAAAGAAAAATTAATCCATCCACTTTTTCATCCTTCCTATTTTACTTCCTTACCAAACATGATGTTTTATTTATTCTTTCAACTTTTTATCCTTTCACTTTTCTATTAAATTATGTATCTTCTCTTCGATATTGTCAACGGTAAATCTCCCGCAACACATTCATATCTTTTGTTGGATTAATAATTTTATTATTGGATTAGTTGAAATATTGGGATTGTGTACGTGGATTAGTTTTTAACCCACTGAAACAAAATTCCCATTATGAACCTAAATTTTAGTCCGAACTGAATAACATAAGTTCAACTCGGGTGTGTGAAAAATTAGACATGGGTAATACTCGAGTTAAGTAAATCAAATCGGGTTAACAGTTAGATTGGAGTTGAGCCTTAATTGAAGCTTTTATAAATCAGGTTGAACCAAGTTAACCTCTAAATCCATCCAACCCATCCGAATTGCACCGCTAGTACCACCAATGGGCTTTCATAAAAATCAAGGAGAATTCATATTTTTGTGTCTATGGCACGATTATATAAAATACACTCCATTTTCACAGCACCACCAATCTATCAATGACAAAGAATAAAACCCATAAAAAAATCTGTTTCAACAACCCCTGGAACTCAAACAAAAAGTTTGTCTGAGCAGCTTCAAATACCTAAAATGGTTCTTATCTGATCAGGGGGATGTCTTGCTAGTGATTTAGGATCTGGGTACTGATTCTTGGGATCCATGATTGCCTTGTAAATTAGTTCATAAGCTGCAGCTAGTGACCTAGCCACCTGGACAACAGCCTCGGATCGCAGTCTGGGAACCTGCATCTGCTCAAATTCTGGCAGGGAACTTTCACTCCCCAAAATAAGCCCGAAGAAAGCCTTCAAACATTCTGAAAGAGAGGCAGGAGAAGTGCCTTCCATTTCCGCCAATGCGTCATGGGCTTCCTCATTGTATAACGAATTGTGGAAGTGAGGCATCTTGTCTGACAAGCCGCATCTTCTTAAAATGACATCGACTTCTTTTTGCACAAGACCATGCATGTGACTATCAATCATCGTTCCAAGCTTCTGCACGTATTCAGACGCAACCTCATGTCCTAATAATGGTTGTTGGATGGCACACAAGCAATTGAGGAGAAAAATCTTGGAGGGTGTTTCACTAGTCTGCATGAATCCAGCATTTAGGGCATAAGATAGGATCACAATCAGGAGAACTTCAAACAGAAAGGAAAAAGACCTTGGAAAAGCATAAACCGAAAATTATAAAACTAGGGATCTATCTCATGAGGACTCGAGCATAACACCCAAATTTAATCGCAAAAGATCATGATACAATCATTAGGGCAGCTTTAAGAATCATTACAGATGTACATACAGATAAATAAGCGGTGAAGAGGGAAGGGGTTTTCATTGTTCAACTATTTGAAATAATTCAGCATTTTCATATAACAATGAGAAAATCAAGATTTAACAGACAAAAATGAAGAATTGAAGTATTTTTATTTTGGTAAATAAGAATCAAAGAACAAATACATGATGAAAAGGTCTAGCTACAAAGCAAACCGTGTTTTAAGATATACAGAAGGCTGGTACCCTATTGCAACTATAAGAAGATTGGCCGAAATCAAAGAGCATGTTAAACAAAAAAAAAAATAGTTAAGCTGAAATGAAAAGATGGAAGATTGGCGAGACATGCAAAATGGATGCATTAGAGCAAAGCCAGAAATGCCATCCACATAGTAGGAGATTATGGATTGCCTTATGGAAATTGTCAGAATGTCAGTTGTAGCCCAGAAATTTCACCCACTGAAAGTAGGTAATGATGGCTCGCTTGGGGAATGGCAATTATAGCTCACTTGGTACACTATTGCAGAAGAGTGACTTGATTCAAGTTTTTCTTTATCAAAGACTTGACTCAAGTGGAAGCAGCCAAAAGTACAAGCAAGATGAAAAGGTAGTTTCAGGTAACAGATATGATGTAATTGCGTTAATACGAATGTGACCGAAAGTTGAATTCAAATAGAGCTGATTGGAAGTAGATGGACATAACTAGTACCAAATGGTTGCCATTAAAACTGTTCTTGTGAGGAAATGATTTTGTGCCATTTGGAGTCTATTTCAGAATTCTCAACCAACAGTACTACACATTTGCAGAATATTGGTCCATTGCACAGGGGTGTACACCAGTCACCAGGGGAACACATTCACCCAAAAAAAACACAAGAACCATTAGGCTATTAGTATACAAACCTGAGATACAGGGGTGGACTTCCCGTTTGCCAAGATAGAATCTATAGATGATTTACCGAGTTGGCCTGGGTCAGAACTTGTTCTACTTCTTCTTAGTGTCTGGATGGCTCCCTTAGACTTGTGCGCCTCTGCTGCTAATTCACACATCTGCAATGAATGGATACGATAATAAACAAGATACAAAATCAATGCTCTTAGTAAATTACTTCGTTTTCATAAAGAGTATGCCACTAGGATTAAACTCATAAGGATTAAAAACTCAATCCAGTTTCTAAAGAACAAAGGGAGGGATGACAAGAAAACATAATGTTCATTTCCCGTGCTGCTATCTGAGGTCCTGGATAAATCAACCAATTAGGGACAACCAGTTCTTCAAGTAATGAGGAAAAACTAGTGCGTAAACAAAGAAGTGATTTCCATGTAGGCAAAAAGACATTTGCAATTGACATACAACTAGGTAACTCAACTCAACTCGTAAACTACACAAAAAGTGGTCTCAAACACAGGAGCAAGCCTATAAATTGAAACTATGAATAACAACAAAACTTTAATGCCATTCAAGTAAAGAAGCAAAACTAAGTGGGAGCCTGGGAGGGCACACTTTCGTGAAAACATTGTGTGCTATTTTGCATTTTCGTCATGCAATGAAAAGCAGGTCCACCAAGGATTATAAGATATACATCAACAAATGTCTGCCCAAACACACCTGAATTATAGGATCCAGTAAAGCGGATATCACTGGATCAAAGGAAGGCTTCTCTCCTGATGCAGAGACCATCATGCTGTCGTGGGTCTCGATTATTTCAAGCAACACCGAGACTCCTTCCCTCACTGCTGGTGGAGGGGAGAGATCGACAGAAACCAGAGGAGGATACCGTAAAAGCTTCTCTCCTCGAGTTTTTAGAATGTCAAAGAATGTTTTCTGAGCGGCATCCTTGACTACCCAAAGTGTATTACAAAGAGCTGTTTCTCTTCCTAGCAGCTCGGATATCTGTAAGAGAACGAATATGTAAGAGCAGAAAGGGCCTACGAGAAACTAACTCAAAAGAAAAAAGAATGTTGTTCGACTCACGGTGTAGCTGTAGAACTCCAGGGTGATATTAAGTTTGTATGAGATTATAAGGTTAGGTTGAGACTGCAAAACTTGCTCTACTCTCACTTTAAATGGCCGGCAAACTCCTTCAAATATCCTGTCTAACACAAATGTCAAGTCAGATTCTGCCTTTGCTGAAGCATTCTCTGAGCCTTTAGAGAATCTACGTGCAGTTGGTCCAGTATCTACAACTGCATCCGGATCAAGTAACACGAGGACAAGTTCTCTTTCAGATGCTAATGCCTGCATGAAAAGCAACAAATAATTATGACAACCAATAATCGAAAACTAGAAGTTGTTTCAGATTATCAGAAGGGTGGGTGGAAGTAAAGTCAAAACAATGCAGTTTGTGTCACACCTGATGAAGCCACCCAAGCATGTCACCTACATATCGTAAGGGATCATGAGCATGCACTTCGATTGGTCTGGGTAATCCACCAGGTCCCCCACGTGTAAGCGCGCTTATAAACCTTCTAAACAATGCATTATGTCTCATATTTGCTACCTGTATATCAGAAGTTTTGATGTAGGAATACGAAATGCTAGTGAATCATCGCAACACTCGTTAAAATTTCAAATTACTGAAGATTTTTGCTTCCATAACATAATCACCTCTTCCGCACAGTACTTGAAAAGGACAGGCCTTTCTTTGAGGCAGCGAACTGCTGTTTTCAGAAGTTCACTAACCTCAGGATTATCGGTGTCACCCAATCTCCTACACTCAGTTTGAACCCACCTAGATGGACCAAAAATAATTCACAACTCATAACTTGGCAAAGCACCACAGAATCACATAAGTTCCAGCATCAGAAAGTAGATCAAAAGCATTTAAGATAGCAAGTATGAGATTCCTAACCAATATGACTCACGAATGGCTAATCAGCTCAGAATGCCATTGCCAAAAATCTGAACAATTTCAACTATAGTACTGGTGGTATCACTTAAGACAATAGATTTATGGAGTCAATTTAAGAATATTGGGTTGTTCATAGTCATTTGGGAGGCAATAATGCAGAAGAATGAGTATGCCTGATACCACAGCCAAGAATACTTGACCGCAAAGTTGCCCTAGGATGCAATCACAAGACACAGAAAACATTAAGTATTAGAAGGAACAGTTTCACAAACAAACGTCCACAAAGTGAACAATTTAAAGCTAATCACACTCTAAAAACAGAAAGGCTGCTATAGAGTTTTTTCTAAAAAAAAAAATTTAAGGGAGACAATAAACTCAACTCAACTCAACTCAGAACAGCCTTATCCCAACATTTTTGGATTGGCTACATGAATCACGTTTTGCAATTGTACCATGTTAAGGGTCATACTTTTTATTAAATGGTTTACGTTATTGCAATTTTTAGATGGAACATTGGATAGATATGCATTGATTACTAATGAAAATGAAACGGAAACCTTTCTCTCATGATCCATAGAAGCCTCACCTGCAGAGGCGCTCATAGGCTCCTTCTTGGTACACAGCCATTACATCCATAAGTTCCAAACCTGCACGCTGTGAAAGTTTCTCAAGTTATTTACGACTCAGATTCAGATGTACATCAAATTCACAAATAGCCATATGACAAACCACAGCCACAAGTACATTTGAAGAGGTCAGATGAATTGCATGACTTACCAATAACGGCAAAAGATCACAATCAACAATCAGTCTTATAAGCCTAAGGTTAATCCAAAATGTTGCTTCTAAAATAATGCAAATTCAAGAGGCTGCATCTCAAAGACTGTCAATACATATGACTTTCTATAAAAGACGAAAGATCAGAGCATATGCAAGTGCTCTAAAGTTGCCAGGCAATATTAAGTTCCAATTGCATACACGACTTTGCAATTTAAACCATAAAAAGACTATCAGGAGGCCATAAGAAACCCCAAAGCACAATTACTTCAAGCTAGCTCATGGTGGAACTTTAAACTAGGTCTCTAAAAGTGGAAATCACAAAATTTGTTGGAGACACTTAAAGGAATTCCACATGGACCACAAAATGGAAATTAAGCACAATAGTCCAGATTTGAATAAGCATTAATTCATTTAATTGACAAAGCATTTACCCATTTATTCTCTTCCCGAAGGCTATCAGGAAAGGAAAGCCCTATTTGTTCTCTTACATTTCTTCAATTTATCAAGCAATGCTCATTGTTTTCCCTTTTTCCTTAACTTTCAATTGGTCATATAGGGATACATTTTCTCCAAGTAACAATTCTACCAACATATTGCAATGTTCATGGGACACTCCATGAGCATGAATATGCATCCTAAGTAGTTGTTGGTACAAAACTCAAGTCAATTCAACTAAACAAAAAAAAAAACCTTGGTGACGATGATCATATAAGACTGCATATGGAAGACGAGTTACATTCAGATATATACAAGACAGTTGCTATAATGCTGACTTCCTAAGAGCTACCACCATCTAAGAGAAAATATACACTATGGACAAATAAACAAACAACATGAGTTAGAATCAAAATTTGGGCAGAGTTAGTTTGAAAAAAATAAAAAATAAAATGAGTCTCTAGATTTTCATTGGCAAACATTTTGAAATGGTTAATTTTCAAGACATGTTTTTTTATGACAGTAAGAATATACACTTACAGATCACTAAGACTCCAGACTCGTGATTTTCAAATCCTTATCAGAGACACTAATAGAAAAGTGGGGTTTGTAAAGAGTTCATTAAAAATCCAAAAAAGGGCTATCATGTGCATCTTCCTTCTAGCTGCTATATACCACAAACTGCCCATAGTTCACAGTCTAATTATTGGCCACCTAGAGGATATTAAAATGCTTCAATCACGATATCACGGAAGAGTATCGGTCGATATGCTACAAGATGATAATGATTATTCGGCCGAGTCAACTGAGACATCTCTGAGTTATCCAGGAGTCAAGTGAGACTCTTCGTTAAATGAAACGTGGAATGGTATCAGACTAGAAAGTGTCGGGTCAGTTATGACTTGATCGAGCCATTGTTGGAGGTGGCCAATGATGTGCACCATGAAAGTACCTTTAACATCACATACAAATTGGACAATTCATGCAAACAAACATATACATAAAGATGAAGAATGGCCAAAAAGGGTTCCTCCCTTTTATGTGCCCTGGAGATTTGACAAAAAGACTATTCTAACCTAAATCCTCTCTCTATTCCATGTCTTTTCTCCCCTAGTATAGGATTTGATAACAATGGTGTTTTTTTACAGCACGGTCACCAAACATCCAAAGAAACGACCTTACTATCTGATACTCATTAGTAAGTATACTTGATCCATTCTTTATTACGAAGGAAGTTTGTGTGTGTGTGTGTGGGGGGGGGGGGGGGGGAGAGAGAGAGAGTCTGTTTACCTGGTGATGTGTCCTGAGCAGCACTTTGCAATTTGCATGTATTTCTTGAACATGAGAAAGAGCCTTGAAGAAGTTCTCACTCAGATCTTCTTCTCTCAGAGCATTTATCTGCAAAAGGATCCACCACAAGCAATAAAGATGAGTGAAAATAACCTCAAGTTTGTTTTGCAGTACTATCCATAGCGTGGAAGTATGACATATAGAAATCCGACTAACACCTCTTCATTGGAAAGCTGATAATCACGAACGAAGCAAGATGCGATCTCTTGTTTCTGTGTAGTCACTTCAAGTTCCTGTTTCAGCCTTTCCGTGGTACTTATAATATCTCCTGTTGTAGCATTACAACTGCTTAACGCCCTAGCAATTCTGCAAAGTACAGGCTTTAAGTTTTTCTGTAATGGTTTTATGAGTTTTTTTTATTTAATATACTAGAAAAAGAAACATAAATTGCACGTGGCAACATATGGAATCCTTCAATGGTAAGAAGTTTTGTCACAACTATTTAACAGTTTTCTCGTCTTTTGTTTGCAAAGCTAAGCCTGCAAACAGGATAAGTTTTGCATTTCATCCCACAGCATAACTTGACCGTTGATCAGTAACAAGCCGCTGATATAGTTCTATTAGACTTGTGACACAAGACAAGAAGAAAAAGATTGAGAATTTTAATGAGATGAAGACTTGTTTTGAAAGGAGAGTGAAATTAAAGATTAAGTAAACAATTTACTGACAACCAAAAGGAAAAAAAAAGGAACACTTCCAATGCAGTTCAATATTCCACTCAATAATCAAGTATTTTTTGACTCATTTACATTTAAGGCAGGCCCTTTTATAGGCAGCCGTAAAAATGCTAATAAAAGTTACCCAAAACACCACATAAGAGCAATATTTAAGTCTAAATTAATAGCATGTACCTAATATATTTGATATTAGGGCATCTCCAACCCTGACTCAAATTTAAATTTGTGTAAAAAAATATAAAAAACTTGCTCTAACCTTGACTCAAACTTATACCAAATTAAGGGAGACTCAATTTTTCACTCAAATGAAGAGAGACTCAAGCCCTTCCTCAAATCTCTAATGGTGAGATTTCACCCTCTTTTAAAGATCCAATTGTCATTTTTACTCTCTTTTAACTTTAGGTTTGCCCTCATTTAAATTTGGGTTTCTCCTTTTTTAAATTTGAGTTTGTCCATTTAAATCTTTTGTATCAAATCAAGTTTTTTATTCAAATGTTAATTTAAATTTGAGTAAAAATTTGAGTCATAGTTGGAGATGCTTTAAGGAAGATAAAACAAAGAAAATGCCACAAAGGTAAAAAAAAGACAAGACAAACAAAAGAAAGGATAGAAGCCAAAACAGAGGACAAGCCAAAGAGGCAAACTATTATCCGGAAAAGAATGTTTGATTCATCTTAACCCATAAGCACAAGACTTTAACCGAACTTCCATCAGCCAATTTGAGGTTTAAGACGATACTATCATTTGAGGTTTAAGACGGTACTATCATCTATCTTATCTAATTCCTACCTTCCCAGTCATTTAATATTGAATGAAGCAAGCCCAACTTTTCCGTGATATCCAACGACAGAGAATATTTTGTTGGGGTACGGGGTTACCATCTGTGACCATTTCCTGTTCCAAACAAGAAGCACATAGATCCAAAAATGCTTTGACTTCAAAGTCTTGACATAGGGAACCAAGTATTCATTTTCCTCACTACAACTTTGATATGATGCTTAGAATTTCCAATTTAATCATAGAACTTATTTCTTGAAAGTAAACAGACATAAGATAGTTACTAGCTAACCACTTGCTTAGCAAAATAACTTTGTTTTGTTGTGTTATACTATTAGTCTTCAAGTTAACGAATAATTCATCGACAAATCGATTTGTGTTATAGCGTAGTCATGTGGAAAAAAATATCTTGGTGATGCTATCTTGAATACCCTGATTTATATATAAATCTAATTACTCTATTACATGGGGTCATTGCTTTGTACAGTGGTAAATAGGAGCTAATCCTTACGTATGATATGATTCATAATTAGATATTTGATAGAAAACAATCACAACTTGTACTCATCTTCATGTAACTTATTCCCTATAAAGCACACATACAGATACAAAATATGGATACGATACAGTACGGATACAACGATTCAATAAAATCTAAAAAAGTAGGATGCAAATACGTCTATAATAAAATATATTTCATATTTTTACTGTTCTCTACCATTTATTAATTATGTATTTCATATACAAAAATATACACGAAGTACCTAAACATTTTATTATTATTGGATACGTAGAATGTATATCTGATACGTATCCTGGAGTATCCGTCGAGTACCACATCCGATACGGTATCACATAAGGATACGTCAAGCTCACCGAAGTATCTGTGCTACATAACTTATCACTCTATAAATATCTAGACAATGTAACTAAAGTACAACCACCTTTCATGCTCTATCCCGGCCTTCTATAACTCATTGGGTCGTTGTCTTTTAAAAATCAATTAGTGGATATGTCATCTTCTTTGGCCCAAATCTGGTCTCTTGATCATCATGAAAACAACACGCTCGAGCACCCGGTTTTTCACAATCTCATGAAGTACATTGAGATTGCATTCAATTCAGTGTGAGACAATGTAGGTAAGGGCAACCTTCACTTCAATTTTCTGTAAAACAAAGGATCAAGTGGCAGAAATTCTCACGGAATCACTATCTACCGCGGATTCAACCCATTTGTTACAAACACAGTCTTCTCCATGGAACGCTTGGCAAGGGATCGGTGATAAGGATTAAATCCTAACTAATCTTATCTCTCCAGAATTCTTTATCAGGAAACAATAACGACTTGTACTCATCCTCATGTAACTTATCACTCGTTAAATGTCCAAACAATGCAACTATGGTACACAGGCTAATAAACTCTCTTACTCCCTCAATAACGATTCCACCCAGAACCCCCCAGCAACGAGGGCCAACCTCAGTATTGACTGTTAAGGCTACTAAAAGACAGTTTCAACTTTCATACAGTTTCATTCTATAACTCATGATTCATTCCAGATACATCGTTGATTATAGTATAATCATAGTTTCAGTCGCTTCCTTTATCTTTTTGGGGAACGTAAATTAGCAATCAATGAGCTGTACAGCAGGAGGATAATAATCTTACTTGTCACAGCATTCAGCGAGCGCATTGACCTCCTCTTCCACCCGATCCAGCGCCTAACCCAATGCCAAGGCAATTCCAATAAAACGCACAAGAATTCTAACTCCAGAAAGAGAGAGAAACGCTACAAATTTCTCGAGAGACAAAATGTAATACGAACCTTTCGTGCAGCATCGGAGGCTTGAAGGTACTCCTGGTTGATGGCCAGAGCTCGCTTCTCGATGGTCGATCGGAGGTTCCGCCGACCGTGAGGGGTATTTTCGGAATAAAAACTAGAGAGTGTGTTAAGCGACGCCAACAGATCGGGACTATCGGTACGAGTCTCCAACACCTTCTTCAGCTTCCTTGACAGTCCCGGCGCTAGCGCCGGTGATGTCCCCATTTCGGTGTATCTCTATAACTGTATCTCAACCTATAGAAACAGATGTGTGTATTTATGTATGTGTATAATGCACCGCAAATTGATTGAATTCTGATCCCTCTTTTTCTGTTTCGTTGATCAGATCCCGGTAGAGTTTCTAATGGCGGTCAACAACTGTAGAAAGTATAAGGGGACTGGGCCCATTCAGAACTAAGCCCGACCCGATAAAAATGGGTCATAAAGATAAAAGCCCACACCCGCCATTCCTACTAGCAAATCATATCTGGTATGATTTTTTTGTATTGGGCCAATCGAATTGTGGCCTTACCTTGGCCCGGCCCAATTTATCTAAAGTACAAAATGGCCTACCCTTAATTGGGACCAATTTGCCTGAATAAGATTATATATTTTGTATTGTATTCGTGTCGTTATAGAATTTTTTGAATCTTGCACGGAACTCGTACATAATTGTATGTAGTCAAATTTTTGTCTTGTCTAATTCGTACCATGTGTGATTTATATTTATCTAAGTTTATATCAACCAATTCATTTAACAGATCTAACGAGTATACCATTTTATCACATGAATTTGCTAATGTTAAGCCCAAGTCACTAATGTTGAACGAAATTTGTGAATCCTGTGTAAAATATTTGTCACCACTTTCATGTTAAAACATTAATTTAACCAAATAAAACTTTTTAATTTTGACCGACCTTAAGCCCAATAGAGTACGAAAAAATGATGAGAAAAACAATTATAAAAGATATGTACCCACTTGGTTAGTCGTCCCAAAACGACTTGATTGTTGTTGATACCAAAAAATATACAAAAGGTAATGAGATTTCAAAAGATAACAAGTAATACAGAAACTATCAGAAGGGGCAGAAAAGGACTTTCAACATCAAACCATACATTTGGCAATAAATCACACCAAATATTCTCTGAATATTTATATAATAAAGTACAATACAATTCAAATCTCAAAAGATAAACAAAATGACTCTTAATTTTCGCGGTTGAGATCTATTCAAATTTTACTCTAAAGTTAATGCAAAGGCTAATATTAATATATCAAATTTAATAAGAAAAATATGTTTCTAAGAGTGTATTCGATGTGACTTTTTAAAAATACTTCTAAATCTTATAACTACTTATGAATACTTAAAATATATTTTATTTATTTATTGAGATTTGAATTGTATTGTACTTTATTATATATATTTGAAACCGTTCCACCACTATCACCCCCAACACCCCACCACTACTATCGCAGCCGCTGCCACCCCATCACCACCTCTGCCACAACAACCACCACCTCCACCACTGTCGTTGTCACCACCATTATTGCCACCCCACCACCATCACCACACTAACCGCGCCACCACCGTTGCTGCAACCCTACCACCACCATCACCAACACCACCATCGTCACTGTTGCCGCTGCCACCACTACTGTCGCCATCCCACTGCCACCGTCGGTGCCCCACCACCATCACCACCCACTTGCTATTACCGTCGTCCACTGCCACAACTCACCACAATTTTCATCTCATTCTTATATTTATTATCATTATCATCGCCGCCCCCCGTCAACACCCACCATTACCATTGTTGTTCACCACCAACCATTTCTGCCCACTATCACAACCCACCACCACCACCACCACCCATCATTGCCCACCATCGCCGTCAGTCACTATCACTCACCCCCATCAAACTTATCAGCACCAATCGTCATCGTCCATCACTGTCGTCATCCACTGTCAACCACCCTACAACACCTACCTCCACCATCACCGTTATTTACCATAACTCATCACACTGTCGTCCAGATGCACCCGTCATCGTCCACCACCCTCTATCATCACTGCCCACCAGCACAACCCACCACCGCCGTGGCCCCACTAGCATCACCGTTGTCCATAACCATTATTTTTGTCACTCATGATTGTCATTATCATCATCGTCACTAAAAATTCAACACCAACATCACTATTGCCACCCATAACAGCCACTATCACCACAGTTGTTATCACCCACCATAACCATCATCGTCTCCTACCACCACCACTAGCATCATTCACCCCACTACAACCGGTGCTTAAATTCTTTTCTTTGCTCTATGTTTGTAATTTAATTTTGGATGTGAATATAAATATATTTATTATTAACCATTTTTTTCTGTGTCTTCAGACACAGACAATAATTAGTCTATATAATAAAATACAATACAATTCAAATCTCAAATAATAAACAAAATAACTTTTATTTTTCGTCGTTAAGATCTCTTTAAATTTTACTTTAAATCTATTCTAATGGCTAATATTAACACCTTAAATTCAATAAGGGAAATAGATCCATAAGGATGTGTTTGAAGTGACTTTTTAAAAGTATTTCTAAAACTTATAACTTATCATAAGTACTTTAAAAAAAATTATATTTGGAACCACCCTACTACCACCACCACTCTCATCGCCCTACCACTACCACCACCCTAACTACCCCCACCGCCACCCCCTCCACTACCCCACCACCACGACCATCGCCACCATCTTTGCCCTAACTACCATTACCACAAGTCCACACCCACCCCTGTCGCCATCCTACAACCACCATCGTCGCCACCGCCACCATTTTTGCCACAACAGTCACAATAACCACCACCACTACAATTGCCCTACAAACACCATCGCCACCACCACTACCACTGTCACCACCCAGCCACCAACACCACTCCCACCACCACCATCATTGTCCATCATCACCCCTACCACCACCATCACTGTCCCATCATCACCCCTACTACCACCACCACCCCCACCCCCACATCCATCATCATTACCACCACCACTGTCATCCTAACACCATCACTGTCATCGCGACCATTACCCCTACCGTCACCACCCCCACTAGACCACCAACAACAACATCGTCATTTACCACCGATTGCTACCACCATCGTCCACCGCCACCACTCACCACCATCATTATCTCATTCTTATATTTATTACAACCACTACTATCATCTCACTGCCACTATCACCCACCATCAGCACCCACTGCCACTAGTCGTCGTCCACCATCGCCGTCAACCACTATCACCCACACCCACCACATCTACAACCACCACCTGTCATCGTTCACCACTGTTGCCACCTATTTTCACCCACCCCCACCACATCTATCACCACCACCGTCATTCACCACCACTCATCACACTGTCACCCAAAAAACCCTTCATTGTCCATCACCACCATTGTCACTGTCCACCACCACCATCGTCGCCCATCACCACCACTACCAACACCATCACCATTGCCCACCACCACAATTACCGTCACATATGGTTGTCACTACCACCGTCGTCACTCAAAACCCACCACCACCATCACGGTCGTGACCCACGATTACCACCACCACCACGGCCGTCGCCACCCACTACAATCATCATTGTTTTCCAACACTACCACTGTTGCCCACCACCACTACCACCGCTCACCACCATTACCTTCAGTGCTTAAATTATTTTTTCCTCCTCTTTGTTTATGATTTAATTTTGAGTATGAATATAAATATATTTATTACTCGATGTTTTCAGGCACTGAAAATAATTAATTCTGTTATAAAAGGCAATGATCATTGTGAAAAAAGGGCATGAAGTAAGGAAAAAACCCTATTGTACTATTTTTCTTCAAAAAAATAATATACGACTAAAGAACAAGAGCCTCAATTATAGTAGATTAGTCAAGTTTTTCAGTTAGTGAACCACTTATTTTCTTGTGTATTCTCATTCATTTTTCGACATACCCGTCATGACCGCATCCAACTCTCCATCTCATGCTTCTCAATTTTTTATACCATTAATTGTATATATCAGAAAATCATTTCTTTCGTTAATTTCATGCTTTCTTTCTTTTTTTTTTTCCCTTCTTTCCTTTTCTTCCCTGACCCTTCCCAAAAATAAGATGACAATCCTTCATGGTAGCTTGGACGAAAAGATTAAGAGGTCACTATCTCTAGTTTTAAGTTTAAGTCTAATAATAAACACCATAATTTATCACATAATTTTGGGTATTCAAATATCATATTTTTCAATTGAGGCATTGATTAAATACGAAGGTTAGACTATTTTTCAAAAGCATGCATTGTGTACATTATATTATTGACATCACCGGTGACAATTTGCTTTAGTAAAAAAGAAATTTCTCAAAATTAAAATTGATAAAATTCTAATTAAGACCAACTATGTCCCAAAAAGATAGTGGACTAGTCGCACTATAATTTAAAAAGAATATTTTAAAAAAATTAATACGAAAAACAAATTAAATAAATAATTATTAATTAACGATATAAAAAACCTCATTTTAAATAATCGCATTAGGTATTAAAATATCTTGAGCCAACTCTGCAAACAAACCACCCATAAATTATGTGCAAGTTGGTCATATTTATAAACAATGTTATATAGACTTAATAAATCATTGTCATTGATTTCATTATGAGTTCTAGTATTAATGAAGACCCAGTACCTATTCAATAGCTGTAATGGATCAAGTTTATATTTTAAGTTTACATTTTAAGTCTAAATAATATTTCCACATATTTATTGTTGGGGCTAGTGAGAGATCTAAACAAAGTCTAACTTCAACCCTCAAGGGTGATCCAATAGTCAAGTTTATCTCTTACAAATACGAGGTTTCATGTTCGATATTTCACACACCCTTAGGAATTAATCACCCTTTTTTCTTATGAGATGTGTCATTAAAACTAGGTTGATTTACGATAATCAATTCAGAGTTGAAGGAAATAGTCGGTGAAAAAAACAAAAACCAAACACCCCCTCCACCTCCCCAAAAAATAAAAATTCCCATCCACCCACCAAAAAGGCCAGAAAACCAAGACCAGTAGTCTTGGACAAAGCGTGATTGAGTGAGGTAGCAATGGAAATCCATTGTGTCTTGTAGTTAACAGAACATTCCTAAGGAGTGTTAAATGAGTGGTCTGTGTGCTCATGCTTACGTGAGAATGAGGATTTGTACGCGTGCTATCTAAGCATATTAAAACTGGAACAATTTTCCACAACATAATCATACCAATTATCATGTTTCTTCCACCATACAACAACATCAACCTAAGAGC